CAAGTGCTCTTAAAAGAAGAGGAGAGAATAGAGAGGTGAGAAGACGTCATGTGAACACGGAGGCAGAGAGCGCGCTTACGTTTGCACCGCTAAGGAATACCCGCGGCCACCAGCAGCTGGTAGAGGAAGGAAGGATTTGCCCCCACAGTGTTCAGAGGCGCAAGACCCTGCCAACACCTTGATTTCAGACTCTGACTCCTAGAACTGTGAAAGAATACATTTCTGCTGTTTGACGACAACCAGTTTTTGGCAATTTGTACGGCAGCCCTACACGGCTAACACACACCCCCTCCCTCCAGTATGAGTCAAAGAGATTCTTCGAGGCGACGCAAGGGAGAAGGGAAGAGAGATGCTTAACCTCGAAAGCGGAGGGGATAACAGTGGAGGCTTCTCGGAGGTGAGACCCAATCTGAAGTTTTGAGTTGCCTAGACAGGCAGAGGGACACATGAGAACAAAGACGAGGAGTCAAGCAGTAACACGGTGTCACGTCCTGAACTGTTCCTTCTGTGCTTGGGTAGGACATGCAAAGTGATGAGAGGCAGGCAGCCACAGGCAGAAAAATCTATCGGGGTCATACTTCAGAGGCTCTGGGGAGCTGGCGGGACTTTGTTCTGAAGATCGTGGAGAGCCCTGGGAGATTTCTTAGCAGAAGAGTAACACAGTAAGTGTCCCTTCTAGAAAGATCTGCAGGAAGGAGCTGGAGTGGAGGAAAAGTAGGGTGATAAGTTAGAAGGTGACCACAGAGGCCAAGATCAGAGGGGATGTGGTTTTAATAAAGACAGGAAGTGATGGATTTGAAAAATACCTCAATAGGGTAACATCAGCACTTCTGACCACAATCTATGTGAGCCAGATTTCTAGCCTGGGTCTCTGCGGGGTGCATGAAGAGTGAGCAGAGGCCCCATCCCAGTTTTTCAAGACCTAGGAAGCTTCTGAGAGGACACCTGGCTCAGGGGAAATGTGAGACTAGAGAGTCAGGCCAACGGGCTGAAGGTTGAACCCAACAGGTACACCCTCCCAAACAGGGGCACCTGGCTGGAGGCAGGCAGAGGGCAGTCCTTCCTGTCACCATCAGCTCTTCCCACAGCCTTGACCTCCACTGGTTCCCTTGTGCTGGGGCCAAGGTGGCTCCCCTGGGCTCCGTAACTACTGAAGAACAACACGATATAAATCCAGGGGTGAGCTGTCCTGTTGCTCCAATGACAAAGCGACTTGAATGATTTAGAGCCAGAATATTCTTTTCTCCATAATGGCTCCTGGAGTCGCCAGGAATAGTACATTTACTAAAATTAATGGCAAAACCTCATTTTTCTTTTTTCCGGGAAGAGAAGTTCCATTGGTGGGGTAATTGATCCTGATCTGGACGTGCCGGTGCACCAGTTAGGGGCGTAAATCATCCACATGAAACAACTCACAGCCCTTTAAACCAACACCAACAGTGACAAATGGGACAGGCTGGGACAGGCGGAAAGGAACACAGAGGGGAGATCCATCAACATCATTCTCGCTTCTCATCAGGGCCCAGAGAGCGGGATCCTTTTTTTTGGGGTCTCCCAAAGCAGAGACATTTTTCAGCAGGGCTGGACCAAAAGGGCAGTGTGTCACAGTGATGGCTTTCAAGTTGGACACACAGGGACACCAGTCTGATCTTTGCCACTCCTGTCTTGGCAGCCCTGGGCAAGACACCTCACATGTCTGTACATTTCCCACCTGTCGGGTTGACATAAGCACGAAAGATGACATCTGCAGAGGACCTCAGCATAGTGACTCTATAAATGTTTGTCCAGGAAATGGATGAACAGATGAATGCATGCTTGAACTGAGGAGTTAGGAAATTCTATCCCTCGCAGGGGGATTTGAACTTTAAAAAGGGGAATATGAAGAGGGCACAGATTTACTCAAAGAAGTTACCTGTGATGGTGACATTAGGCGGTGCCTTCTAAGAATCCCCCAAATCCGGGTGCATAGACATCTTGATTTGTGTGTCAAAACTCAGAGCAGCCATTACAGAGGCATGTTTAAATTCACCAGCAATGGCCTTAGCGATTTCTCACCATTCAGTGTGAGCAACTTGAGGGCAGCAGTGCATCTTGTTCCCGATGGACCCCCAACATTTAGCTCCGGGGTTGGCCCATAGTAAAAGCTATCGCATGAATGTCAGAACCAGAACCCTGTCTTGCAGGCTTTTGGGGAAGTTTTTAGGGAACACCAGGCATGGAGCAGCTGCCCCCTTGTCTTATAGGGTGGCAGGAGGAAGGCAAATTGGTGGCATAGACATGGACCTGGGGAGGGGACATGACATCTCCTGAGGAGCCCAGGAAAGTAGCAGGATGCCACGCCAGTGGGCGGAGCCTCAGCCACAGGGCTTATCTTAAAATGACAACGCTCAGTGAATGAATGCTCCCACTGAGCTGTGTTTTGTCCACATTGCAAACTTCAACAAAGCAGGCAGCCTGTGATCCCTTGTCCCTCCCCACTGACGCCCATCTCCATGCCCTACCCAGTTGGCATAGTTGACAGATGTTGAATGAATAAGTGAGTGGTACAAGAAAATATGACTGCCTCTCTTGTTCCACTGGGAATATCTCAGGACCCAAAGCCAAGGGTTATATTTAGGGCAAATGGGTTGGTGCATTTGGGACATTCACTATGAGGAAGGGTCTGCCAGCTGACATTGTCCCTTTGAGACTTGCCCATCCACAGAGTCACTGAGGAACAAAGTGGGCAGGGTCCCTGCAGAATACCCGCTAAGCACAGATGCACCCTCCTGCTCTGGAGCGGATTGAAGGGTGCCCGTCCACCACACAGGACATGTTCATGGGACCTTATTTGGAAAAAAGGTCTTTACGCATATAATTAAGGATCTCCAGATGAAATCAACCTGAACTTAGAGCCGGCCCCAAATCCAATTCCAGGTGACCTTCTAAGAAAAAGGCAGAAGGATATTTGAGACGCACATACACATACACAAACACGATGACCAGACAGAAACAGAGGCAAAGAGTGGAGTAATGGGGCCATTAGCCAAGGAATGCCTGAAGCCACTGGGATTCGGAAGGACAAAGAAAGATTCCAACCAAGAGCCTTCAGAGGGAATGCAAGCCTGCCTCTCCCTTGATCGCAGCCTCCTGGCCGCCAGAACTGTCAGAGAATGAATGTCTGTTTGTGGTCATGTGCTAAGGCAGCCCTAGAAAACCTGCACCTCCCAACCACAGCCACACCAAAATAAAAAAAATAAAGAGAGAAGTTCAGCCTGGGTAAACTGATCTAGAATCTTGCCATCAGAAAACAGAAAAATGCAAGTCTAATTTCAGCACACATACCAGCTTTGCATTTTATAATTTTGTGTCTTTTCTATTTTGATTCACATATGGGGGTTGCACTAGCATCTTCCCAGTGTTTTAGGGCCTTTCATTATCTTCACTTGTCCCTGGGAATGGGGATAGGGTAGAGGAAAGTGCGGAAAGAAGGAAGGAGAGGAGAGAGGAAGATGACTATTTGATCTGGCTGGAATGCCTGGGTGTTCAGCCAGTTAAAAGGACTTCCTAGGAGCACAGTGGGGGGGGACGTCCTCTCACCCCCAGCCAGAGCTGGAGGAGGGGGCTCAGCTGCCCAAGAGGCAGGACTAGTTAATGAGGAAGTTACTGTGTCAGTCGCAGGCAAGGGCCATTCTCTCTCCCAGGGCCACGGGGGATGGAGGAACTGTCAGTGTAGAGCCTTGAACTTTATCTGGGAAACTAGGTCTCTGTGTGGAGCCTCACCTCCCCCCCCCACCACAGCCAGGCTGCTGGCTTGTCAAGGGCAAAGCTGATGGGAATGACACTGGCCATGGGAGGCAGTGGCCTGAGAAATATACTTGCTGCAGGAGGACAAGTTGGTGAGACCAGTCACAAAACCAAAGTGGACAGCAGGGGAAGAGAAATGACTGGTTCCCAGACCTCTGGGCCAAGCCCCAGGAGGCTGGGGGTGTCTCCACAAAGACTCTGTGGTGGGGGGCAAAGAGGTGTCACGCCTCAGGAGCCACAGAAGAAAAAAATCTGGAGTTTTAGAGGTATCCGGAGGTGGTGCTCTGATACTCTGTGACCCCGAAGGAAAATGTTCTCAGAAAAATGTATTAAACTATGGAGAAACATTCCCAAAGGGCAGAGAACACATTTTTAAAGTGTTCCTTGGACCACACCAGGGGGCAATCATGGCTTAGTGAATAAAAGCTGAGACTATAGAGTTGAACAGACTTGGGTTCAAAATTCTTACTACTGTGTGGCCCTGGGCAAGTGAATGTATCACTCTGGGCCTGCATGTGGCATGTTGATGGCCCCGTGCCTCAGTTTCCCCATCAGTGACATGGTGATAAGTACCTACTTCACAGTACTGATATAAAGATTTAAATGAGAAATGTTTAACTCAGCCCTTGGCACATAACAAGCCTTAATAAATGGCAGCTTTAGCACGATCATTTTTATCTTTTATATTTGTACATACTCTTAATAGCCCAGAAATAGCTCTGGCGTGTATCAGGTGTGACTCTTTAGACAAGATGCCTCGGTTTCCTCACCTGTAAAATGGGATAAGAATTCTGACACGTCAGGGATCTCTGTATTATATGATATTATGAATGTACATGCATCATACATGATCTATTAAATGTTTGGGCCTCAATTTAATAAATAATTTAATAATTTGATAAACTTTGATTCTCTCCTCTTCGGATGAGGCCATCCTGCCCTGGAATGAAATGTCTGAGGCAGAAAGAAAAAAAGTCTGGGGTCTGAGACCTACGCGTGCTGGGCAGCCATTGCAGCAGCAGTGAACGCTATTGGTCCACTTGGGTCCCATCCCTAGGGTTTGCAGCAAATAGCAGGCAGGGTCATCAGTCTGCCCGCCCCCTTCCCGTTTCTTCTTGCTTCTGGCCCCGTGCAAAGGGCCCAGAGAGCACGGAGGAATGTCTCCCGTCCTAAGCCCTCCGTGCTGGGGGAGCCAGGGCTGGGACAGCACTCACCAGCTCCATGCACCGCCGACCGGCCTCCGCCTCCCGCTGCATCAGCTCCTCCATGTCCGCCTTCAGCTCCTCCAGGCGCCCCTGGGAGTACCGGCTGCTCTCCCGCTGCTGAGCCTCGGACACGGCCGCCTGCGCCATCTCCTCACCCATCCTGATCAGCGTGTCGCGAAGCCGGATCACCAGGACCTGGGGGCCGGGCAGAGAGCACATGCCCACCTTGGAGTTAGAGGCCAGAGCTGTGCAACAGGGGCGTGCCAGGAGGGGAAGTCCTTTGCTGAGCCTCTGTGCCTTTTTATAAAGCAATCAGGATAATAATCCTAATTTCTGATGCACAAATGAAGAATTTACTTCAAAAACGTAGAAAGCGATAGCTGCTATTCTGAGAGGCGGTATAGAATGCTGATGAGAACTGTGACTCTGAATGTGTGCTGGGTTCGAAGCCCACCTCCTCCTCTTCCTGGCTGGGTGACCTTGGGCAGGTTACTGAGCCTCTCTGAGAGACAGGGATGATGACGGTATTTACGTTCCCGGGGATGCTGTCAGGATGGAACACATTCAGTTAAGCAGAAGACTTAGCTCAGTGGCCAGCATGTGGAAGGTGCCTGGTAAGGGGTAGGAATTACGAATATTTATGGCAGTCCTCATTCATCTCAAGGTCTGGGTGGTGGAGTGGTACAGTCGGGAGCACCCAGCTCTCCGGGATCAAAACCCCTGCCCTAACATGGGTTTTGGTTTCCTGATTTGTAAAACAAGGCAGTTTTATCACACAGCCTCAGCTCTAATATTTTATGGCATTTTTCCTTTGTCTTGGGGGGAAAAGCCATGAGGACACAATGAAACAATAGAGAGAAAAGAGCTGTGGGCTTCACCCACGCTACAGAGAACACACCCCAGGGCAGTTCTACAGAATTCATTAGCTGGCCGACAAGCCCGGAACAACCCATTCTGATGGGCAAATACTCAAGCGTTGACATAAAGCGGAGCCTGCACGAATACCGCAGGCCCCTGCTCAAGACGCCGAGCGCCTCTCCGGATCAGAGACTGAATGATGACCTAACAGAAAAGCTTTACTGTTCAGCTTCCCTTTGCCTTTCAAATGGAGTTTAGCAACAATTTCAAAGGGCAGCAGGAAGGTAATAAGGAAGAAGGGTAGTTCTCAAACAGTGTCCCCGAGGCACCCTGTCTTAAGGACCTGGGATTCTACTGAGTACAACTAATGATGGCAGAGGGGCAAAGTGATTTTTTTTTTTTTTAATTTGGAGGTTTAAATTTAAATCTGCCATTTAAAGTTTTTCTATCATGATTTTCTTCTATCACTTGACTATGCTGGAAGCAAGTAATAAATGATCTATGATCTAGCCCAACATTATGTATTTAATCATTATTAATTTAATCATTAATAGTAGGAGCAAAGGTTTGCGGTGATCTGCGGACATACTTGGCCTTGAGGGGTCGCTTGAGTGATTCTGAGAAGCGCTCAGGGTCAAGGCAAAGAAGAATTTTTCTCTGTTCTTCTTCTTCTACATAGGCTTCTTAGAGACCAAATGCCCAACAGGGGATTGGGAGGAAATGTTTCAGCACGAGTGTGGCCTCCCCCTGTCCAGACGCACGGTCACGCTGTGGGGAAGCCACCTGCGAAATCAGAGCTTCGGAGCTGATAGAATCCGGACCTGAGTACCACCTTTTGAATAAGCCCACCCGCCATCTCAGAGAGACCTGGGTGTCATCTTCCCTAGGCTACTAGCATCCTCCAGGGGCCACGTCAGCAAGCCACAAGCCCCCCTTTTCCCTGACCCCTCCCCTCAAAGAGCCTGCCAAAAACTCTGGCGGTAAAAAGCCTCTTGACCTGTTAGAGACCCTCTTTCTTTGTTCTCCTGGCCGGGACAGAGGGGGCCCTCTCAGGGTCAGCAATAAACCTGTTTGGACTGCTGAGTTGGCATCCCCTCTCTTCTTTCAGGTACAGGCTGGAGTGAAAGTCAAATGTCAATCTACTACAGTCAGTACCACTACCTGGCTTTATCTTGAAAAAGTCACTTGACCTCTATGGGGCCGTCTTCTCATTCACTGAGGCTGTCCTACCTGTCCCAGTTCCAGCATCAATGCCACCTCCTCCTAGAAGCCTCACTGATTTCCCAGCCTGAAAGGATCTCCATCTTCCAAACCTCACAGGCCTCACTCCATATTATGGGCATTTATGTACATATTTTACCCACATATCCTATAAAGTGCCATGCTTCTGGAAAGCAGAATCTGTTTTATACAGTGTCTTCTATGCACTTAAAATTTATTATGCACCACACGCTGGGTACAAAATAAATTCCTGTTCAAAATCAGTTCTGGGTGCATAAGTGGATGAGTGGGTGGATGGAGATGGGCAGAACTGGATCAGCAGATAACAAGACAGACAGACGGAAGGGTCAAGTTCTGAAAAAAAAGGGGAAGAAAGACTGAAAACAGTACAGAAGAAAACGACATGGAAGGGTAACGACGGGTGAGCCAGTGATGGCCTATGGACATGGAAAGATGGATGGGGTGGACAGGGGAATGGAAAGGTGGTTTGTGGGATGGTGTGACCGAACAAAGGAAGATGGGAGGGAGGGAGGGAGGGACTCAGATGGGGTACGATGAGTAGTCCACATCCACATAAAGGCGTATGAGTGGACGGCTGGACGGCAGGCAGATGCACAGAGCTTACACTAACGTCCTCGTGGCCCTAGGCCTGAGCAATATTTACATGTCAACCAGTACCTCAAATCTCTTAATCTGCACTTTCTGGAACTCCGTCTTGTTCTCCAGGTCACAGATGATGGCCTCCTGCCTGCTCACAATGCCTCGGTCCACGGTGGACTGCTCCAGGTACCCAATGCGCATCTGAGCCACCTGCAGCTGGGGGCAAACACGAGAAGTCCCCCGACCGCCTGCTGACTCTGAGTCCCAGGATCAAGGCCCATGCAGGACCCCGTCCCAGGCCCGCTCACACCACCTCCTTCCCAGCCCAGCTGCTGCGTGCTGAATGCACAGGCAAGAACTGCCCATTCCCTGGCACCAGATCCCGCCCGTGGGTCTCAGGTGCCGGGAGGTGACATTTCCTGGGCTTTCAGCCCCCATGACAGGACTTTCAGTCAGGGTTCCCTTGACCTCGTCTCCCTGTTCTGCTAAAGGACAGCAGCAAGGGGATGTAAGCAGCAAGCATCAGCATCAAAGGACACAACCAATAGTGTGTCTGGCAGTCAGGCACGTCAGGGTTCAACACCAGGCTCCAGCACTTTCCAGCTGGATAAGCCTGGGCAAGCCAGCTTCCCTCCCTGACCTCATTTCTTCATTCTTTTGCACCATGATTGTAGGAGATCGGCGCCTGGTACATAATAAGCGCGCAGCATGCGGCCCCTACTGCTGTTCTTTTTGTTGTGTTTGTTGATACTCGGTGCATATGGACATTTGCTCGAGACCCAGACACATGCAACAGTTCTAGAGGACCTCTGAGAATTTTATGGATAATGGCAACCCGCCAAGTATGAGGGAAATTCAGGGGTGTTTGGAGGAACCACGACTTCAAAGGAAGATTTCACAAAAAATGATGATCCTGTCTTGCACAGATCATCCCCTTTTCCGTGGAGCCATTTCTCTGCGGGAGAAAATCCTGCCCTGAATGGCGGATGAGTCTTATGGCATCTTTGCATCCTGCACAGGTACAAGCAAGCATCTGTGTGTGCGTGGGCGTGCATGTGTGCCTGCTGTATTGTTCTCAGGTCATCTGGCCCACAACTGCAGCTGGGTGAGTGGATGAATGAATGAATGAATGAATGAATGAATGAATGAATGAATGACAGTTTCCAGTATCCAAAGCATGAGGCTCCAGTGGGGACCCTTCCCGTCCTCCCCACAACACGGTAGCTCTGAGCACGTACTTGTTCTTGAAGGCTGTGCTTCTCCTTCTGGGCTTCCTCCAGCTGCAGCTGCAGTTCCTGGATCTGCCCAATGTCAGCAGCGGACTGGTGAGACAGAAGTACCACCTTGAGACCACAGGCTTGGCTGGAAAATGGCCCTGGAAACCCCTCCTTCCCCCATCCGCAGATGTCTAAGTCTCTCAGAGCCTCTGTGATGATAGCGGTTCCAAAATGTTGCCTCTCACATCCTTCTCAACACCCTTCATCTCAGTGTTCACTGGGTCACTCCCGTAAGTCCCTAACTTGGTCAACCATCCAGCACTTTATTACTCAACCTTGAGAACCCAGGCAGAAATGGCCACAGCAGTAGGACCAGATTCTTAAGGAAGAGAACATCTGAGTGTCAGGTAACTGGGATTCTAGCCCTGGATCCTGGCCTTGCAAGCCACAAAACCTCTCTGCACCTCAGTATCCCCATCTGTAAAATGGGCTCGTAGTCTCTGCTTAGTTTCTCTACACAGGGTTTATCTGGAGATTACATGAGACAATGGTAAAGGTCCTTTAAAAAATTAGAACCAACCTGTTAAGCACAATGATCTCTAAGAGAGGGATTTCAGAGCACAGGTGAGCCCCTCACTTTCTATTTTCCACATGTACTTATTATTTAAATTATTTATAATGGGCAGATGAAAATACTGCTTTTGTAATTGAACAAATAAAAACACTTCCATCTTGAACAAATATAAATGTGATTCACAGATTCAGAAGACGGCATAGGATATATTTGTAGCTGCTGTTATAATGGTGATGATATAATTGATTCTTTTCATTATTATGTTTCCTTGTTTGGCAGAAATTCCCACAGTTTAAATCTCTCGAAGCCTGGCAGGCATTCTACCATGGATCCCCTTTGGGGTACAATGTGGGGAAGCCGCTCATTGCTCCTGGAGGGCGCTGTTCTCCCCAGTTACTCAGATGAGAAATCGGCCTGGGATCTTGTCACTCATCCCTCAGCTCCACCCACAAAGCCTCTGCTCCGCCCCCTCCTGCCTTCGAGCCTCCTAATTGGCTCCTGGGTCGATCCACTCCTCCCCAGCTCTGCTCCACCTCCCTGGTGTAAGCAGCTTGGTCTGGCCTCTGGACTGCTGCTCTATGCGTTTCATTCAGCAGCTGCGTGTTACATATACCAGGCACTTTTCCAGGCTCTGGGATACAGCGTTACACCAGCCAGGAGAACCCTGTCGTTATAGAGCTGACAGTCTGGGGCAGCATCCTGGCTGATCGTCTCCTCCTGCTCTTGACCCTAAAAATCTTGCCAGTGATTTCCATTACATGTAAATTAAGAAACAAAATCTTCTCAGCCTCAAACACCCCTCTGGCCTTGCTCTTAAGGTCTTGCTGAGCTCATCTCGCAATATGCTCCCCTCGGCGGGACAGACCCTTTACACACGCTGTGCCCTCTGCCCGGAACACTCCCCGCAACCCTCAGGATTCCACTCCAACCTGACTAACCCTGCTCCTCCTTCAGATCTCCATCCCGGTGCCACCTCCTCAGGGACGCCTTCCCTGACCTCCAATCTAGGTCAAGATTCACAGAACCATGTTCATTTCCTTTTCTGGACTCTAAGTTCAGTTTCCAAGGATCCCCTCTGCTCAGGGTGATTATGTAAGGCCTGCCCGGCCCAGTAAACAGTGAGCTGCATGAACACAGGAATGGGCTGTGCTTTTGCTCAGATAGTATTCTTGGCATTTCACACAGTCCCCAACACATAACAGGTACACAGTAAACATTAAATAAATGAATGGGTGTGTAGAGACGTACATGGATAGGTGGGCAGCAGGATATATAGGTGGATGGGTGAATGAATAAGCGGGTGGGAGGATGGCTGGCTGGCTGGGTAGATGGGTGGATAAGAGTGCAGAGGTGAATGGGTGGATGAATGAGCAGCTGGATGATGGATGGATGACTATTTTGATGAGTAGATGAACAGATGTGTGGGGTGGGTGAATAAACAGGCAGATGTATGAATAAATAAAAAATATTCCTGATGGAGATAACCTCCAGAAATGTACACCTATCTGAGGGTGACATTCTCCTCCCAGAGGGCCACAATTTATAATCCCTCTTTATCATTGTGGCATTTATCCCTTCATGGTCCTTAGACCAGGGAATGGCCCAACCACATCACCTCTCAGTATGCCCCCCGTGCTGGTCCCAGGCCACCAAGCTTTCTTTCACTCAGAGCCCTTACCTGGGCGATGAGGTCTTTGTGCTTCTGCATGAGGTCGTTCAGGTCATCCTGGTCCTCGTCGATGCGCTTCAGCAGGTCGGCTCTCTCAAACTGCAGCCGGCACAGCTGCTCATCCACCTGGCAGGAGGCAGGACAACAGCTGTGGTGAGGTACGAGGGGGACTGAGAGGGGGACAGTAGAGGCTGACCTAGAGCAGGGGGCCATGGCTGTGGGTGGGTCAGATGAGAGACTGCCTGCCTGTAGGGGAGGCCCTGGGTGTGTCAATGCATGCTGTGCACTAGACAGCTGTGTGTGTGTGTGTGTGTGTGTGTGTGTGTGTGTGTACTGGGCGTGCAAGTGACTATGTGAATGCCACTGTGTGTATGTGAATGGATGCATGTCTGTGTAAGCCCCTGTGGGCTTACCTTTTATGTACATTTTGAAAGCATGGCACATACATATGAATACAAACCCCTGTAATCTCGCTAAGAATAGGGACTTTGTTCTGTTCACAGGTCAGTCCCCAGCACCTGGCCTGTATAGAGCAGGTGCTCAATAAATATATATGCATTAGGTGGCTGGATAAATTTAGATGATATTTCACTTAGAAGGGCATTAACTTTGTATGTGTTTCTGGCGTTTTTGGATGTGTGTACCTTCGTGTGTGTGTGTGTGAATGCTTGTAGGCAAGTTTCTCTTAATTTAGTGCAAACACAATCTGGGATAAAAGCTTCAGTAGGGATCTTGAGACAAGCTATGGCCTATAAATCTGTAGCTATACCTAAACTTGAGGATTTTTCATGTTGAGTATAAATTTAAGCCAACCCGGACACCTGGACAGACTTAGAAACTCATATCCAGTTTTCACCAACATAATTGATTCATTGATTCATAATATACATTCATTTGTCCCTTCTCAGTGGTGAGCACGTAGTAGGTTCATAATAGATGGCTGGTCCCTTATAGTAGTGAGCCTAAGTGGGCCCCTAAAGGATGCCCTTGTCTCCACGTAGAAGAATGGACATGCAGTGGCCCAATGACAATGACCAAGTCCCTTCTTATGGTGGTGAGCACACAGTAGGGCTACAGAAGATGCCTGAGAACCACTTACAGTGGTGAGCATGCTGTGGGCATGCAATAGACAGTTGTGTTCCTGCTTAGGGTGCCCAGCAAATAATAGGCTCATACTGGATGCATCTCCACAGTGCTGAGCACACATTAGATCTACAAGTTTCCTTGCCTACCTTTGTGGAGGTAAACACACAGCTGACTCTCATATAGGCCCCTGTATCTTTCCAACACTCAGCTCATAGTAGGATGCCTGTACTCAGAGTCTGGGCACCCAGTAGGTCCACAGTTAGTGCTCTTGTATAACCAGTAGGTCTACAGTTGATGTGTGTGTCTCCAGGGGGCACTCAATAGGTCCACAATAAGTACCCTTGTCTCTTTCATGGTGCTGAGCACACAGGAGACCCACACTAGTTCCCAGAAGCCTGTGCTGGCCCCAATCCCCACAGCTCCAGGGAAGGACAGGTACCAGGCTCTTGCAACGGGTCATGTTTTCCAGCTCGCTGTGCATATTCTCCAGGTCCACAGTCAACGTCTTCTTGGTCTTCAAAGCATCCTCACACTTGGCTTCACTCTGCTCCAGCTGGACCAGGCAGGAGGGAGAGAAGAAAAGAGAAGAGGCCTTGTGACACTGTCTCCTAGCATGTTCGTCCCCTCCAGCCCAGCCCGTACCTCTCTCAGGCAGCAGAGTAATTTACAGGTGACCCTCATGTCTGCACAACTATGCAACTCACTGGGGGAAACAAATCTGGTTGCACTTGAGGCAGCAGGTTTTGAGCCCACTCAAAATTAAACAGGCATGAAATAAAGCTAGGCCACCCCCCCTTCCATGCCAAGAGCTAGTCCATCCCCAATTCCGGCTGGCAAATATTTGCTGACATCCACTTAGTGCCAGGCAGGGAATAGTCAACCTGGCGCCTGACCTCTTGCAAGGGAGACAGGCAGGGACAGGTAATGACAGAGAGCTGAGGAGTACAGAGAGGTGCCAGAAGGTCAGTGGGGACCTGCCAAGTAGACCTTCCTTGACCAAGTTTCAGAGCTGTGAATCCTCTTTAAATGCCACAAAATTCTGCATGCGAGCATTTTCCTGGGTTCATGACCATCACTAGATTCTCAAAGGTTAAGAGCTACTCACTTAGAGTATCTTTCTCATCCTTTCACCCACCTGCATGCAGTAGGCTCCCTATCTTAAGAGACTGGGGTCTTCAAGGTGGGTACAATTACCTATATGGCTCCACAAGACAGACAGCCCTCACCAGAGAACACCACATCCTTGTACAAACCCTAACTCCATCCTGCAATTGACAGTTTCCCCTTGATTTCTGAACCCTGGAATCTCTAAGCAGAAAACACCTTAGAAATCAGCTAAGGAAAACCTTCAGGACTCAGAGAGGGACAGTGCCTTGCTCAAAGTCACACAGCTGCAAGGAGCAAAGAAGCCATTTGTGTCATACAGACCAGAGCACTTTCTCAACTCCCAGGCCACTGTCCCTCTAAAGCAGTTAATGATATAAAGGTTGGTGCTCACAGACTGGGAAAAAAGACAAGGTAAAGCCCCAGTGAAATGGCACGCATACAGTCTCCAATCCCTGGAGCCAGCAAGTCGGTGTTGGGGTCCCCTGATCTGTAAAAGGAAAACAATTCAGTGAAGGTGGAGGTCACCCTAAGGACACTGGACAACAAGGAGGGGAAGCAGGGGTGCTCTGGGGGTAGAGCCCACCTGGGATCATTTTCATCTCCTTCCAAACTGGGCCAAGAATATCTTCCTCACAATATCCAGAGGCTCAGCCCACGTTAGAAGAAGAATGACAGTGGAAGGTGAACAGAATGGGCCACCACTAATTTGAGTATCTCCCATCAAGCACCATGCTAAAGGGTCTTCTCACAGTTTCTCTTTTAATCCTCATCTTAGATCTGGAGGTGTGTCCTGCTAACATCTCCACTTCACAGATGAGGAAATCGCGGCTCATGGCTTTCTCACATGGGCACTTCTAGGTCTGGCCCCACCCCACTGCCAGCAGCCACAATCCACAAAACCCCCGTATTTGAGACCCTGAGAACAATGCATTCCTGCCTAGGTGGGCTCAGTGCAGGGCCTGGCCAAGAGGACACGGTGGCTCGCTTCCTTCTGCAACTCCGAGGCATTGAAACACACTGAGAAAAATGATGTGGAGCAAGGCGGGTAACTGGCCATGGCTGCAGCATAACCAACAGGAAACAAGAGGTCAGGCACACTCTTATCTTCCCACAGGCAGCTCCAGGGCTTCTGGCAAGGCAGGGAGGTGGGAAGGAGGGCACCCCCCTGCAGGCAGGCAAAGCAAGCCCCTGATTTCTGCAGAAGTCAGAGGCCTCCCTGAGGAGAGGCCTCCCTGAGGAGAGGCATTTAAGCTAAGACCTAAAGGATGCAAGGGAGTCAGCCGTGTAAAGATTTAGGAGGAAGAATGTTCTGAGCAGGGGCAATAGCAAGTGCAAAGGTCCTGAGGCAGGAAGAAGAACCAACTTGGTGCTGAGGAACAGAAAGTTAGCCGGTGTGGCTGGACAGAGATGGAGAGGAGGCGGCACTGAAGAAGTGGACGAGGGTGCCATTTGTGAGGCTCGTGAGCCTAATGCAAAGCTCGGGTTTCTTTTCAGACTGTAGGGAAACCACTGATGGTTTCTAAGGAGGAGGGTCGCGTGATCTGCCTATGGCTGCTGTAGGGAGAATCAGCTTTAGAAGACAAGATTGGAAATCGGGTAGCCAGAGAGGACGCAGCCATGGTCCTCCAGGAAGGAGCAGGTGGAGGAGTTGCAATCAGTGTAGAAGCAAAGAGAAATGGAAGGATGTGCACAGCGGGGTACGCAAAACACAAAAGGTCTGGGCAGACAGGAGCAGATGGGCTGTCAGGGAGATGATGTCAGATAACTAATAGCAGAGAGGATCACGCCAGGCCAAGTTGCTCGGCCCAGGGCCTGGAGGCAAGCAAGAGCCATGGTAAGAAACTCAACAGGGCAGAGCCAAATATGGTACCATCTGCTGGGCCCCTCCTCTGGCTGAGGGTTTCATCAGCATGATGCTACTGGGCCGTGCAGCCACTGGAGAAAGAAGGCTCTATTTTTATCCCCATTTTACAGATGGTATACAATGTGTGATCCAGAAATGCTCCTTCCTTTCCCCCAGTCACCCTGGAGCAAGTAGAGAGAGAGGGACAATTTATCCCCAGGCGAAGATGAATACAGAAAGAGCACCCGTCAGTGGAGATGCCTATAGGCATTATTTTTAGCTCATACCAGGTGAGAGACAGGATTATCTTGGCCCTGACGGTTCTGGCATTAACAGCCACACCTGCTGCTGTTGCTTGGGGACCACTTCCAGTGTACTGTGCTTTATCTGCCAGCTTCACATAAACCCCACAGCACCTCTAGGAAAAGGACACTGCCATCAGGACTTCATGATGCACCAGGACACCCGGGGTCATAGAGGGGAAGTGACTTGCTCAGTCAGTGGAGATGCCCAGTCGGTCCAACTCGAGTCCAAGCTCTTAACTGTTGGGCTCCACAGCCCCTCACGGAAAGCCCCTCACTGGGAAGTCTGGACCACCTGGCTAGGATGTGTTAAAATAAAGCGAGAGCTCAACTGCTGAGCACGCACAGGTGGCTCAGTGGCTGGGTGCTATAATGGAAGCCCCACAGGCAGTGTCCTGCAGGCCTGGCCCAGTCTGGGGACTGTGAAATGAGAAGTAGATAAATAAGAGAAAATGGACAGGACTCGGAATGTGAATGATGGTGTGGCACCTTTGGAGATGAACAATTTCATCCGAAAGTAAAGAGGAAAGAGACCGGCGCTTACTGGTACTTGTCAGAGGCCAGAGCTTGGGCCCTGGAAATTTCAGAGCTTGAGAATTGGGACTGGGGGATCGGCCCTCCCAGCTGGTCACTAAACCTTGCTGTGCCTCAGTTTCCCCACCTGTCAGATGGGGATGGTCACATCGCAGGATCTATGCAGGATAATGAGTGACACCATACCTGGCACTGAGCAAATGCTACAAAGAGGATGGTGTCTGCTGCTGCTTCTGCTTGTCCCTTTCATCCCCTTAACAGCCTACAAAGCAGGGACTTTTCGCCCCACTTTAGAAGGGAGAATGCAGGAGAGGCCAAGGAACTATCAAGGTCACATCACCAGGGGGAAGCAGGGCCTCATCACCTTGAGGGGGCATTTTAGGCTTCCTGGCAGACTGGGGTCGGGGGAAGCACGGTGCCCACCCCAGAGGCACACAGATCAGGTAAGGCCCAGATTTTAGTAGGAATCTGGATGGGCAAGATCAGGACGTCCCCAGCCCAAGGCCTCCACTGGGCAGGTTCTGCTGACAAGCTGTCGTAATGCCGAGCTTTAAAAATTCAATATATTACACTTTAGAGAGTGAGAAGAAATACAGGGCCATGTCGGGCTGATTTTTCCATTATGGATTACCTGGTGTAAGAATAACTCACTGCACATTATTTCCATACGGGGGCCATTTGACAGGCATTTTTATGAAGTCGGGTGGCAAGTCACTGTAGGGCCCAGATCAGATCCTTCAGCCGAGTGACACTGCCCAACACTGCTTTGAAAATGCCTTCCCAGGAGGAGCTCCAGACGGTACAGCCAGGGAGCAGAGGCAGCCAGGCAACAAGTGACTCCTCAGGAGGGGTACCTGGGGTCCATTCTCCAGCCCTGGCAGTGTGGCCATGCGGATGCCAGATAGCAGCTGACACCTCACACCTTTCAGCTCCAAGTCCCCATCATGTCCTGGGAGCACAGGCCCTCTTGGGTTTGTATCAGATCTTCGAGATGTAGGGTAGAGAAGTTTAGGGCAATACAAGATTGAACTGGCTGAGTCCCTCCCTCTCCAGATCTAGTGGGAGCTGGACCCACAATAGCCTCTCAACGACATAACTGATTTGATTTTCATATACGTTCATATTTTCCTTCCTTTTCCAATAAAGACAAATTTTTGCAAAATCAGTACAATGCTACACAGCACCAGAATAACTCTGAGAGCCAGAAAACTCCCTTCTTCATGTTGTCATTCTATCACTAATTAAAGCCACCCTTCCCAAGAATCTGCTCAAATTCTGAAAGGCACGCATCCAAGGAAGGTGTCATTTCCTTCCCAGCCCCTAGAGTTAAGTGTCCTCTGTTGAATGGGCATGTGCCTGTTCCCGGCCCTCCCCATACCATAGCTACAGATGGGCGGCTCTAACTCCTCAGCGAATGTGGGGGATGGAGGTCCTTGGAGCCTGGGGTTCTTAGGGGCAAGATGAGACGAACACTGTCTAGAATCAAGTGTTGCATAAGCCTGAGGGTTGCCATATACATGGGTTATGACAATGTGCTCTTAACTCTGCACCTGGCGCTGCTCTGAACACATCTCATCAAAGGACAGTGGTGGGGTGGGTGCATTCTCCCAGTACGGCCTCTCATCTACGACGACGTGGGACATTTGACCCCACAGAGCATTGCTTGGTGGTTAAGACCAGACCAATTGGTCACGCAGAGTTGGGTTCCAGTCCCACCTGCTCTACCGATGAGCCTGTGACCTCAAGCAGGTTAGTTAGTCACTCTGA